GACTTCTGTTTTTACTGGTAGTAGTATACTGTTCAGTCTGATTCTCGGACATATTATTATGTTCCTATTGGTGAATGTAATTTAATTAGACTTATTATGGTTAACTTTGATTTTCCATCTATTCATCTAGTCTTGTAGTAGGTTCAGGTGTATTTAAAGGTTTCCTGATGCTACTTGGGGGGTCATCATCGATGGATATTCTGGCGGTGTCATCTGCGGACATGGCTACTGTGTTCTTATTTGTTGTCGGGACATCAGCAGTGTATATGAGGTAGAGGAGGGGACCCAGGACACTTCCTTGTGGGACATCGGATTTTATGGAATAGTAATGAGAGGTTTCTGTAAGGAATCTGACTTGAAATTAACGTTCTGTATGATTTTAAAAGCAGATAGTGAGGGGTGGGAAAGGATGACTTAAGTTTTTATAGAAGGCCATCATGCCAAACACGGTCGAAGGTTTGTTCTATATCCAGGAAGGCAGCAGTGCAAATTTTTATTCTCTTCGAGGCATAAACTAATGTTTTTTTACAATCCTATGATACTGTTGTAAAGTTGAATGTGCTTCGCGGAAACCAAACTGGTAGTTTGGGATCACTGAATTAATTTAGATGTCGTCTGAGATTTTTTTATTCTTATATTTAAATTAAATTTTTATTTATGTAAGGCTCGAATACATTCCAGTTGGTCTTTGATATTGTCAACTTAGGGATACTCGGACGTTTTATAATTTGCGTAGATAGTGTTACAATTATGGGAGTATGGTCGGTGGACAGATTCCAGGATGGTTGTATGTCAAAATAACTTAAGGCCATGCTATGAAGGATAAAGAAGTCGAGTAGATCTGGGATTTTGTTTGAATCTGATGGCCAGTAGGTGAATTGCCCTGTAGATAAGTAAAAACTGTATGTGTTAGCTATGGCTTGTCTGAAATTTTTTCCCTTTGTCGTACATAGTCTCATCCGCCAGTCTGTATGCTTGGCATTCCAGTCACCTCCAATTAAGAATTTGTTTGATAGATGTTTAAAGAAGCTTTCAAGGGCTGTACATTGCAGCCATGTTAAAAGACTGTGGTTGAGAACTGATACCGATTAGTGCAGCTTGTATTTTTTCCGTCTGATACATTGTTTCCTCATAGTGTGGTATGGTGTTACGTACAATAATAGCAGCGCCACCGTGTGCTGTTCCATCAGGATGGTTGGTGTTGTAAATAGAGTAATGAGGATCTTGAACATCGTTCTGTCAGTGAAATGGGTTTCCGATATGAGTAGAAAATCAATTTTGTTATGTTTAAGAAAGTAGGTAACTTCTGCGTTATGGTTGACTAGGCCGTTGGCATTCCATTGTGCAATTCGTAGTGACTTAAGCTCCATTACTGAGTTTATTTATTACTGTGGAAAGCATGTTTAAGATCACGCTATTTTGATTTATTAGCTGTGAAAACATAGCTTTGAATTCGTTAAGGAAACTCTTCATCATCTCTCTAATGTCACTGTTTGTATTGCTTCCATGTGTTACACTTGTTACTTGAGCGTAAGTTGCATGATTTTGGTTGTATGGGTTCGTATTATTATGGACATTATTTACATTTGTTCCATCTTTCGCTTGTGTGTAAGTCGCGTGATTTTGATTGCTTAAGTTCCGATTATTCTGTACTGTATTTTTGTTATATGGCAGTTGATTGTTCGCTGGAGTGTGCGATGATTATCCTCTTGTTCTGTTTCTACTGCTAATTAACTATTTGTATACTACGCATCCTATGTAATTTGCAGTTTGTGCTCCATTGCAAAGAGCGCATATGGCAGAGGTAGGGTGTGTCCCTAGATTTTTTACAATCGCTGAATATGGTTGCTCACATTTGACACAGGTCAGGTCTATTACAGTAGGTCTTAGAGTGTCCATACAATTGGCATCTGGTACACTGGACAATATTATTCTTTTTATACAGTGACTCAATAGCTATTTTCGCGTTGTTTATAAATTGAATTTCATATATTTTTGTATTATTTTGATTTGGTTCTCTATCGACGTAGAACATCATTAGAGGGTCCTTACTTACTCTTTGTTTTATATTTACAATATTGCTAACTAAATGCCGATGTTTTTCAATTTCACTGTTTATTATATTATAATGGGCACTGCGATGTAGATTACGAATTACAACTCTGTATGCTCTATCCTCTTTCATTTGGTACGTATGATGCACAATTATTTTGCTGTTTAAATATCTTACTAGTTTTCGGTATGTTTCAGAGTCCCGGTAATCTATTTTTAAATTTTTAGTGTGGTAAAATCATTTTGTGTTTTTTTTTAATGCTGTACAATAGAATGTCTCTGTTTTCGTTACGTCCGATAGGTTATTAACCATTTTATTGTATTCAGTAACACCATATATAAAAATTGGTGGGGGTTAAGTGGTTGCTGGAGTTTTGTTGGTATTTTCTGTACTGTTATTGTTGTCGTTTTCATTTTTATTCTGTAAAATCTGAAATTTATTGCTGGTTACTACCGTGTCTTCGTTTTCTGTTGGTGTCGGATGATTAATTTTACGTTTTTTGTTACTATGTTGTATAGTTTGCCATTCGTGGATGTCCGATGACTTAATGTCGCTGATTTCATCCGAAGATTCTTCACTTTGTAATGTATGTAGGTGTTATCTCAATAGAATCATAAGCTTCATTTTGAGGTATAGATAATGTGAGATTTATTTTAGGATTGTATTGACAGTTTGCGGAAAATTGTAATAGTACTTGGTTAGGAACATAATATATTGTTGGTGGATTGTTTAAAATTTGTGCTGAATTTGATTGCGAATTTTGTGGAAAAAGGGCATTTAGGTATTTTGGTTAAATTTGCTGTTGCTGATATTGAGTATTTATAGGATTACCATTAACAATAGCAGTATAAAAAGGAACACTCAGCGATAAATCTGCTGGAGCACTCATTGTAATTGTTAAAACTGTATATTTTAATTTTTAAATAGTTTATAAATAGTATATCTACTCGATACACGATAATGACGGTAAAAACGTGGCCAGAGCCCGTTTTTCATCACCACTATAAACTTTCGCCTAATTTGTATCGATGCGATGTTTGCAGGTTGAGAGTCAAATGCATACTTTTTGATCTTTTTGATCATTTTGACTATTTTGACCATCCAGTGAGGATTTAACGTACTCCAATACTACAATTTTGTTTGTTGACCTTTCCATGTAAGATAAATGTTGCATCATATGTGAAAAGAATATTTTTGGTAAACATCGGATTCAGGTGGCATATATTTGACATTAGTTTACAAAATTATATACAGATAGTATTTATTGTTTTTGAAAATTCTCAATACAGAAGTTTTACTTATATCATTACTACCAGCCAATTATCTTGTTCGTTTATGTGGGTTTTTCTTAACAGCTAACAATACATCCAGCGTCTTTTGACCATTCAATTTTGATCTGTCAGGTTCGAGAAGACTGGGACCTAAGCTAGATTTTCACCAACCACTAGAACCCGCCGGATTCAGGAGAGCTTGGAAACGAATGACCACCTAATGGTAATAAAATCATTGACAAAGAAGTTTATAAAATATAACAAGCCATTTATATTCATATTTGTAGACTTTGAGGAAGCATTTGACTTAGTCCAGTATGGCTCCAGTTCAAGAGCTCTTACAGATTGGAGCCTTAATCATAGGGACACAAATATTTATCGGAATAAAAGATAACAGCGCAACAGCAGCAGAGAAAAGGGTATAAAACATTTAGGACACCCTCTGTCCTAAACTTTTTACCGCTTTATTACAAAGTGCTATGAGAAACAATAACTAGAAAAATATTGGAGTCAACCATAATACGGAGTTTCTGATTTACTTGAGGTTTGCGGACGACATAGTCCTTGTTGCACCGATAAATTATTACTGCCAACTTTTTAAAGTTCTTCAGGGTACTTCTACATGAGTTGGCCTTAATACTAACTTTTTTAAATCATTATATATGACCACTCTCGTACAAACCAAAAACATTTCAACTAATAGCCCTCAAATTGAAAAAGTGTGTCTCCATAAATATCTGGGCTACAAGATTAAATTCAGAGACATTCAAATAACAGAGTTAAACAAAAGAATATGGCTAATGTGATCAGTTTACGGAAAACTGTCGTTAAAACAGATATTCCCATGTGCTTGAAAAGAAAGGTCTGTTCAGCATGGCTTTAACACAACTATACACAATTATTCATCATCCTATCCTACACAACATAAATTTGCAGCCTACCATAGCTTACATAGATTAATAGAAATTCAAAAATTAACTTCAAGATAGAATTAAATATTATTAAGCAAATAGCAGTAATAGTATTTCCAACAGCAAGAAAAAAACCCAGTACCAAAACAATAAAAAAGAAAGAAATAACACCAGTTGTTAGAACAAACAAGAACTTAGACAAATATATTAAGAAGAAAAGAACAAAAAGAAAAAAGCATTTACACAGTTGTTTATACAAATTAAAACGTGACGACTGTCAAAACAGTTACATCGATCAAACTGATAAAACTTTTAACAAACGTTTCGCAGAACATAAAGGGGCTTTCCGTAATAAAAAATAGACTATACGTACGTACTTCACCTACTAGATTACAATCATTCCTATAATGCTGAATTTAAAATTCTTCCCATTCAAAATATAGACCTTAAGCTATATTTATTAGAATCTATGAAAATTAACAAACTAAAAAATACAAACATGTGATAGTGAAGTTATATCTAATAAATTATAATAAATTTTGTTTATTGTTGAAGTGTTGACAAAATTGTTTTATTGACATGTTTTATTGTTATAAAAAATAAATTTCTATCAAGTAACGGTCGAGGCATCACTTGCTTTCAATGTGCCTCCACGTTACTTTTTTTTGTCATTATGCAAAAATAACAAATCGGGGTTTCATAGTTATTAAAAATTTTAATTTTGATTATACCAAAAGTAAGATTTTAAAAATTAAATGTTTTCAGCTTGCAACGTATTTTTCCAAGCTTTCGACGACGACTTTCAACCCATTTATACCCTTCACAACTACGGAAGAAGAACGAATTGCAGTCTTAGTACATTATTTCCAGCCTCAGTGAGTATAGAAGCACTTGACGTAGGTGTGACACCAAGTTTAGATAACGGAATTCAACTAGAAACTGGCACAATTCATAAGGTAAAAAATTTATTTTTTTAACTTGCTTTTACTTGCTCTCCTCATTTTTTTATCTTAGGTCTTACTTTTGCTTTTCTTCATAATAGTCATCCTAATCATAATCAGTAGCCGTTTTGTATCCACTACTGAATATAGGTCTCCCGTTAATAATTTCATTGTTTCCGGTCTTGAGCACCATACATCCAGTTGTTCTGGTTGCTCTTGATGGCGTCCGACCATGTTGTTGCAAGACGTCCTCGATTACGATAGAATAAAAATATGCTTTATTGTCACTGAAAATTTTATAATTTTATGGACAAAGCTTACAAACTAAAAAAAAATAAAAACATAACAATTAAAATTTACTAAATTACATAAATCGTCAATATCACAGAATAAAACATAATAAAATATACAATCCATTGCAAAATTTCACTTAATTGCAAATTGCATAATAAAACCTTAGGTTATCGCATGTGATATCCAAATATAATAGTATATTACATAACGAGAGTTGTAAGAAGCTTATTAAGCGGCGAGCGCAGTAATTTTACAAGTATGTAATAAGCTTACAACTTAAGTTGTGTACCATACTTTTTCTACGAATATTTCATTTATAAAAATAAAAAATATAACAAGTACAACTACTTTTATTTATTTAACAAAATTCGGGAACAATTAAAATTAAACATTTATTTAGAATAATTAATTGTAAAGTTTTGGCAATTATTTATAACTATACCCTTATCCGAGTTTGGCGGTTTGTTCAATAATACGTGGTGAATAGTGAGATGACGTAAACTGTACGGTGTCTTATGCCTATTTTGCAGGTTCCCTATGGTGAAAACTAAGTTTATTCCTTGCTTCCAACGCTTGCAATCATTACAATCATCTGCTTGTAGACTCCTATGTTCCATTGCACCATTTACTTCTTATTCCCACAATCTTCTTCGTTCCTTTTTTCTGCAGTTAGTGGGAATCCACTGTAATATTGTCTTTGACCACCTTTGATCATTCATCCTTTCGACATGGCCATACTATTTTATTCGTTTGCATTTCTATAGTTCCCAGAATGTCAATGTCTATACCCATAAGCTGTCTGATTTCAGTATTCTTTACTGTATCTTTTTTAGAATTATAGTTTATTCGTCTTCCGGGTTTGGACCGTGTCATTTGTGAGTGACCCAAAAGTGGGTTCATCTCGACGTTTCGCTACAATTGTATGTAGCTTCTTCAGGAGAACAAAAAAGAAAAAGAAAGAAAGAAGAAAACAAAAGAACAGGAAGATGGGTAGTTAGCAACGGTAACTCAGTTACTCAACGCAACCAGAGGCGAATACTAACTACCAAGATGGGCATTTGGTCACAGTAACTCAACTACTCAACGCAGCCAGAGGTGAAAACCAAATGCCAGGACAGGGATTCACGTCCAACAGCTCAGAACACTAACGCGTCGAGAGGCGGGGAGTGAATCCGACGATTACTGTATGTATGTCATCGTTTTTACTCTCTCTGTGTGAGAGAGCCCCTGTTTTAGGCCGCTTGCCTCTTCAGGGAATGGGGTTGTTTATTCTACCGTTAATGTCTGGGGTGGAGTTGGTTTTGAGGCTGAGAATGGGTTTTGCGAATTGTCATCGGTGGTTGAGCGTTTTTGTTACTTTGACTGCTGTTTTTCCTTACTTTGTCTTCACTTTAATTCACAATCGCGCTTGTCGGTCAACACAGAACCAGTGTATAGCACTGAAATTCTGCGTTTGAGCGAGCGCGGCTGTGATAAGTGTAGATTTTCGGGTAACAGCGGTCGCCGGAGTTTGATGTTAATGTAAATTTCTCGCTGCTTATCCCGTTTATTACTACAATTTGCTGGTATCACCCACATCTCCCGCCATCAGTCGAACCAGTGTATTGCACTGAAATTCGTCCTCCGGCCGATGATGCGGGCGCCCCAGGTTGATGTGTACTCAGGATGGTGCAGCGAGAAATGTTTTTATATGTGGTCGGCTGGGTGGGAGGGGCTTACGTATCTCTGCTTGTTGGCCTTGTGGTGGGGGTGGCTTCGTGTTTTCCGTGTTTTTTGAACAGCATCTTCGTCGGCTTGGTGGTTAATTAAATAACAGCGACCCTCTTCGTTAAAAACGGCTCTTTAGCAGAGTCTTTTGGATTTTTTTCAAACGTGGAGGATAGCTGTGGCTACAACCTCACCTAGGATCAGGTATAATTTGTGCAATGAGTTAGGAAACCACAGAAAACTAACTCTCCCTGTCCTTCTTAGTTGTTAACGCGGTACTCGTAAGGAGTTGCTTCGAGGACATCATAGTATTCATCCGGGAGATCTGCTCCTGCCGCATTTAGCAGGAGAGATGGGATGTGTGGAACTTTTATTTTAGGTGTTCTGAATACTAGGTGTCCTCTGGAGTGGCAGGGCATCTTGAGAACTCTCTGGGCCCTGGTGTTGCGACCCTGGATAGTCCGCAAGGTGTATCTCTTGCCTAGGGATTGGAGTCGGGTTGTAATTAATGGGGTGTTGTTGGCTGTTGTATGTATTAGGTTTGAGGGATAATGGAATATCTTTCTGCATATCTTCCGCAGAATCTGCCTCTCACAAGCAAGAACTTTATTCCTCAGTCTACGGTTTAAGGCCGTAAACAGAGGGGCACGGTATTCAATAACTGGCCTTATGAATGTTTTATAGGTGTGCAATAGTGTCGTTTTATTAGTAGCCCCGAATTTTCCGTTTATACCCCCCAAAAGTGAAGCTCGTTGCCTTACTTGTTTCAGGACATTCTGAAGCTCTGGCTCCCAGTTAAGAGTTCTTGCTAGAATAACTCCTAAATAGGTGACAGAGGTTCTTAATATGAGTCTCGTTTGGTATAGGTATAAGGGTGGAAGATCGGGGAGACGGTAATTAGGATGTTGGAACACGATGCTTTGTGTTTTTTCAGCGTTTAGCGTGATACGCCAATTTGCACACCAATTTGTTATCTGATTAAGTTGTATTTGAGCGTTATTGAAAGCCGCTTGTATCCTGCCTGATGAGAGGAGAGCCGTGTCGTCCGCATACAGAAGGATTTTTGTCGAGTCTCTAGGACCCCTCGGTACGTCATATGTGTAAACTGAGTATAATATGGGAGCCAATATGGAACCTTGTGGAACTCCCGCTAGGGGAGTGAAGGGTTCGCTGAGTTCTGTTCCCACTTTAACTCTAACCGTTCTGTTCGATAGATATGATTGCATTATTAGTATAAATGGAAGTGGCAATCCAATAGCTTGAAGTTTCTTGATCAGGCCTGTATGCCAAACCTGATCAAAAGCTTTTTGGACGTCTAGGAACGTGCCGATGACGACGTTGTTTCTGGAATTAATGCTTTGTGAGATATGCGCGACTACTTCCGTTAATGCATTTTGTGTTGAGTGACCCGTCCTGAATCCGAATTGAAAATCTGGGATGATATTGTTGTTTTCTAGGAATTCTTCGAGCCTCTTTTTTAGGAGACGCTCGTAGACTTTGCCTAGAGTATTTAAGAGTGAAATAGGTCTGTATGATTCAGGATTTGTGCGGTCTTTGCCCGGTTTAGGGATCATTATTGTGTTTGCTACTTTCCAGGAGACTGGAAAATAGCAAATCTTAATGGCTGCATTAACTATAGTCGTGATTATTGTGAAAATACTCGGAGGTAATTGTTTGAGGCATTTATTGTGAATGCTATTGGGGCCGGGAGCTGTGTTTTTACTGACGTTACACAGTTCTCGAATAGTTTCTTCGTCAGTGGGGGCTATCATCGGATTATTGATGAAGTCCTCATGACGGTATGGAGTGTTGAGTATTTCACGGACTTGTATTTCGGTTTGAGTTTTAAAGTTTATACAGAACTCAGGGTTATCCGGAGATCTGAGGGTGGCTTGGAGAACATTTTTAAATGTTTCCGCTTTGTTTTGGGGTGTGGAAATAATGTTATTTCCAACTTTTAAGTGAGATTTCGGGATCGATTTTTGTTTTGTTAGGACTTTAAACAAATTCCAGAATTTAGAGCCCTCTCTGTAGTCCAGAGTCGAGGTGATGCGTCTCCATTGCTGGTTTTTCAGCGCATTCACCTCGAGTCTTATACTCGCGGAGAGTCTATTGTATTCTGTCTTTGTTATAGGATCTCTGTACCTTTTATATTCTCTCAGGAGTCGGCGTTTTCTTTTGATTTTTGCCACGATATGTGCGGGCAGGGCCGGAGAATATAAGTTGTACGTGGTTAGGGGGACTGCTATTTCGATAGCCTCATTTATGAGACTATCTACTTGAGTTATAGCTAAGTCGATATGTTCTTGTGTTTCTATGTTGCCTAACAAGGGGAGGTTGTTGTTTATTGTTTCTTTAAAAAGGTCCCAGTTGGCTCTACGATAATCTCGTCTTTTTATTGGTATTGGGATCACTGGGTCTGTCAGACTTGTGTTTACCAGTAGTGGTAAATGGTCTGACGTTATTGAGTCACCTATGAAACATTCATCGTCGAACCTGTCTATTATGTTTTCAGTACATATTATATGGTCGACGCTGGACATTCCAAGGTGACTGAAAAAAGTTGGGTTGGAATTTTCGATTCTGATGATAGGGAGTTCTAATAATAAGTCCGTCAGGTGTATACCGTCCGGATTATTTGAAGTGTCTCCGAATTGTATGTGTCTAGAATTAAGGTCGCCTAGAAGGATGGCTTTATTGAGTGATGAAAAGTACTCAAAAAGCTCATCAGAAAGTGGCGTTCTAGGGTGTTTGTAGTACGAGATTATCGTTATGGTTTCGTTATTTTTTAGGTGTATATCAACCGCCAGGAAGTCAGTATCTGGGATGTTGGTATTGGGTGGGATAATATGAGCTGTACATGGGATGTTGTTTTTTATAAGGATACCGTTACCTTTAGATACTAAATCCTTCGGTCGGTGGAAAGTATTATAATTAGGGAAAGAGGGAGTATATTTTAATCGGGTGTCAGTAAGTGAGAGAACTTGTATATTATATGTGTGGAGGAAGTGTTT